TTAATAGCAAGAGTTGGGCCTAAGAATATGCCACTTAATCAAAAAATGAAGTTCCTGAAAACATGGCAACTAGAGTGACCAAAATGTTGACATTTTATTTTCCAAATTAAAGTGTCAATATTATATCTAGTACCACCATTTGGAGATATCTATTATGGATTTATAGTTCAATTAAAAAAAGGCACATTTATAGTCCCCATGACTAAAAAAAGGATAGATCACTGATACTGAACTTAGTCACAATTTAATTACTTGTAACTCTATTTAGTGTCCAATGTAAATTAGTTATATTTTTTAATGTTAATGTTTCATTGGTATACAAGCTCCTACCATGTCTCTAATCATCATTATTTCATTTTGATGGGTGTCATAGACCTAATTTTTATTTTTTTTATTTTTTTATTGAAGTTAAGATCTCAACTCTCATCTTTTCTGGGAAAATTTAAAATTTGTTGTGTACTTTCTATTCACATTTCAAATTCTGTTGAATTATCTACCTTTCAGGCACCATTTTTTGCCATCATCAATGTCTTTTTGACATTAATCCCTCTAACATTTAGCCCTAAATCATTTTTGAATGGAAAAGCAAGCAGCAATGGCTTAACCTGTTGATCTCAGACACACAGGACACAATCTCCAAGTAGCTGTCAAAGCTGGTTTGAACTTGCCAAAAATAACAAACACTTGAAGTTGTATTAATATCTACTCTCAGTTTGTGGCAATACATGTTTGATTGCTGTAATTTACCCCATTAATGTTTAACATTTTGCAGTTAAAATGCTCCACTACACTGCATACAATCAATGTAAACCTACAGTAATACAGACTCTTTGACTAATATAACTACATATAAATATATAGTTCAGTCATGAAACTCTGGATGGTGCAGGCGACGGGTTGTTAACATAAATGATGATATTCAGAGAGTTAAACGACTTGGCACAAGCTGATTGGTTCATGCTGCATATGCAGCCAATGAGCTTACTGCCTTGCATTTACATGGCTGGCTAGCATTCACTAGATATTCCTGCAGTGCGCTTTCAGAGCTTCTCTGAAACCCTCCACCTTCACCAGCTCCACCTTTATAGATCTGCTACGGGTTATTTTATATGCTATTTGTGCAGCAGCAGTATGTCTTAAATGCTCATGGCACCGTATCGCCATATGCATTGGCAGTAGCAAGTTCCTGTACTTGCTTGCAGCAGCAGCAATAATCTACAACTACAGCAATAACCACAAGCAGAAGCAATTCAGCAGCAGCAGCGTAGCAGATCTATTCCGCCAAGACCAAATACATTAACATTGTCATATCCATCACCATGCTAAAAACTTCAGAGAGTTGTCATGATTAAATTACTTTTATGGAAGATGATGAAAATGGCTGAACTCTTTTTCTTTTCCTTTCTATATTCTCAGTGAAATAAACAGACAGCATCATGTATAGCAATACAATTTCATCTTTATTGAGTTTCAGTCCAAACAAGATGTTACATAATTCAATCAGGAGTCATTCACGGAGATTCCATTACAGAATATTTAAAAAGAGCTTCCTTGAGAAAAAAAAACATTTATATTTACAAACAAACCTTTAGGCATTTTGAGAAATATTGTTAATAAATATTGCAAAAACTCATTTGAAAACAGACACAGCAGTACATTAGACAGTTCTACAGTATATACACCGATAGCGAGAAAGAGTGTAACATGTTTGAGTAGTACTTCTAATTAATTATTTAATTAAATAAATCATACAAGATGTTGAAAAAAATAAAAAACAAGATTCATTTTACATTATTGATGCCGTAATAAAGCAGCATGCTGTTTACTGCAGCTGAGCCAGCAGTGGTTTACAGTCATCTAAATGGTCCAGGCCTTCGACCGCTTCGATCAGCCTCTCCACCCTCTCGTTGGACAGAACTGCGCCTGCATTGCTGCGGAACTTCTTCTGAAGGCTTTCCTGGCTAAGTGGGTTCCTCCAGTGACCATAGAAGGTGTCACAGCGCCCTCGCAGGACGTCTCCACTTACCAAGGTGACCTCCACCTCACCGTACATGATATTGAAATTGGCTGGGTTGTCGTGGGGGTGCTCCACACGGACACGGGAGAGGAGCGCGAGGAGCTCGGGCCGCTGGAGGGCCTCCGGATGGAAGGACTGCACCGTGACTTCTCCATCTAGCAGAGCGGTGCAGGCATTGAACTGGAAGGAGTGGCGTGCCTGGTGCTCTGTCTCCGGGAATGGGCGGTTGATGTACTTGGACAGCGGCACCCGAAGCAGGATTTCCTGCACCTGGTTTGGAGAAATGCTGCCTCCTTTTAGACCAGCCAGGGTCTTGTGCACAACGGCGGCGGCATCGGCGATCCAGTGCATGCCGAGGTGTGCGGGAAAGCGCTTGAACGCAATGTCTTGCGTCTCTATGAGGAAGCTGTGCTCATGCTCCTCCAGGGAAGTGATGGGGTTCGGTGCGTAGTCTTCGTAGAATGCACTGAATCCGGCGACCCCGGGTACTGCATCCAGGACTAGAGGACTTGCCTCCAACCCACGGGACGCCAGCAGGGCTGCTTCGAGACCCAGGCGCGAGGCGTTACCGATGTGGAGAGGTTTGGACTGCGTTGCTGCATTAGCCATTGGTGCACCTGCCAAAGATGCAGCGATGGCCAAGGCATTACTGCACTGATTGCGATCCAGAGAGAGGAGGCGAGCACAGGCCGCTGCGCTGCCCATAGTGCCCACCACGCTGGGAGGATGAAACCTGATGGGGAAGACAGAGAAAGAATTATTTCACCAGCTTGGATGAAACCAGCTCTCCACAACTGTGCTAGAGTGCTCTCGCCTAAAGCTTAGATTGTTCATAATTTTGGGGGCAGCCGAACACATGCTTTTCAAAGTATACTCCATTGGGAGTTTTGTTTGTGTCCAGTGTCCAAAAGTTTTGTATTTGCAATTAAATATGTATTTACATTTGTTCAAACTAGAGTTGTGAGCTTCTCTTAATCCTGTCACCAAGTGCTGGCCAAATACAGGTTTCTATTGTTGTTATATCTCCAGTAGTTTGTAGGGGCCTCATTTATAAATGTTGCATTCAAACCATCCTACATTTGATCTTGCAATCATTGATCTTGCATGAAAGTTGGTGTGGATTTTAGTTATGGTTTAGAAATGAGGCCCCAGGTCTGTAATTATGGCTCTGTTCCTCCTTCAAAATGAGTATATGTAATATTCACATTCTTTTTTTATTGTTTGCAGTGCCAAAACTGCGTAAAAGTTTGAAATATTAATAGCAAATCCAATTAGATTAAATCACCTTCTGACATTATTCCAGAACCCAAGTGGATTCTGTTTTCACAGCACTCAGGAAATAACAAATTATAAGTGTTTAACTATATTCTCAGAGCACAAACAGAACTGCTCTGCATAAACAGCTGTATGCTTTGACAATTTTCACATGGCATATGCGATGCTTCGACCCACCCAGCTGCGGGTGCTTTACCTCACAGAATACTAACGCTGTTATCCAGGCTGTGCTGTACTTAGACATGCAATTATTGCTGTCTTTAGTTGAAACAAAGAAATGAACTCTAACCTCTTAGGGATGTTGTGAGCCTCGTTGGAGAATCTCATCAGCCAACCTTGGATTTCGATGCCCACATTGAAGGCGGTTAGAAAGTCAAGCCCACTTGGTTTGCTGTCGTTGTGGAACATGTCGCTTATAGCCAGGAGGGCAGGTAGTACTGCTCCAGAGGGGTGGGTCGCGGGATGCCATGTGTCGTCAAAGTCCATCGAATGAGCCTGTGAAAAACCAACATGTCAGTCATGTTCTAGAGTGTCTTTCTGTTTCTACATATCGGCATTCATGTCTCATTGCCATGTCATTGCCTTCTCTAGCATAGCCAAAACACTAGAGGGGAAAAGGAAAATCTTGTGCATGGCTGCTGGTAGTATGAGCAAGACCCAATAAAACAGCCTGTCTAGTTTCTATTTGAAACACTTCCTGAAGTGTTATTGGTTAAACACACTCAATTTAGAGGGTCCACAGCAGACTTTCCTACAACACAATGGATGTTTTGTACTCCATGAAAGTTCCACATTGCTGAGGTTTCATGACTTGAGATGTTTTTACATTACCACAACTGGCTGCCAAAAATGGTGCTGAATGCTACAAAACGAGTTTAGAAGGTCTTGTCTGGAAGCTAATT